TACTGAAATCCGCCAGATATCGCGACAATGCAGTTTCTCGCGTTTATTTCCGTATGGACGATGGACGACTGACTCGCAGGCGCACAGAGAGTCGTAAGGTTTAATGAACCCCAGTGAACCCATGGACCTCGGCACGTATTATGGAATTGTTTAGAATGGATCGGAATTGTTCAATTATTTTCTAGATTTCTATTGTATTTTCTAGGGAAAACAGAATAATTTTAACCAGAATCCATTTCAAACAATTCCATAATACATACCATGAGGATCATTTATGTATTTTGAAACGCGATGAAAATTATAAAAGTGAGCAATTCAATAGATGTTGAATGAAATTATAAATATTTTAGTGACTTTGCTCACTTTTGTAATTTTTACCTCATTTCAAGGTACACAATCAATCTTCTGATCTCACACGTATTGCGAATGCATACACACATCGCGTACATCTACCTACACAATTTTTTACCTACAACAATTCTATGAACATACGAGGGTTCTAAGAATATTATAAGAATAAAAAATACAAGAATAATAAAAATAACACTATATGATAATAAGGACAAAAGTAAGGAAAAGATGAATAAATATCGCGTTTGATGTTGAAGGGCAGGATGAAAAGAATTAACTAATTTTTATTCTTTACAAAAAGGATTTGTTTCTGATTCTTCCGCGTGAAAATCTATGCTTTGTAGTTTTTTGTACATTCATTTCAAGGAAAATCATCTCTTTATTAGACTCTGCAGATTTTATTGTATTCTTCCAAGCTCTTTCCATTTCGCGCGAAAGATTAATGACGTAAAAACGAATACAAAGTAAGTAAATAATAGAAATAAATGAATCGAATAACGAATGCAGGGATCAAATATTGAATAAAAGAGACGGGAAATAAAATGAGAAACACGATACGTATTTTTTAAGATATATAAATTTATACCTCATAGATTTTTTACAATTTTTGTAAAAATTACTAGAGATTTGATTATATAATGAGCAAGCGCCAAGATTAAAACTAATGCCACGTGACGTCTTAGCATGTGACGCTAAAATGTTACAACTTCATGTATTAAGATACTTTTGACTCTAATCTTACAGAGACTTAAAGATATATTTTTAATATTAATTAACGAAACTACGATCGCCCGTATCTCGCGAGATGAAATAAGTTTTAAGTATGTTTTTCTAGACTAAGCAAGTTTTAATCTAAACGCTCTTTTTCAGGCTACTACTTGAATTGTTAATTTGTTTAGAAACATAACGAGGACTCGATATGTTTCATAAGATGTATTTTTAGTGGGATAAGATTGGCTTTTATGCACTTTCGGTTTTTCCTATTGAATTAAATCGACTGCAGCGCAATCGATATCGCGTGAATTGGAAAACATTAATCTCCTATTCGCAACGAAAATTAGAAGCGATCATTCTACGGCTGCTCGGCTTCTCTTTGTTCTGAGCTCGTACATCAAAGCAAGATGCGCGTACGCGCGGGTCACAGGTTTCTTGCATCTCAGTAAAAAGACAATTACATCTCTGTGAAGTGAAGAGAACTGACATAGACGCTTCTTTTCCTTCCGATTCGCATCGAAATGTTTCAATTTTTAACGGATGACACGGTCTACCTGCCGCGATCCCCATCGGCCGGCAAAAAGAAAGGGAACCGCGTGCGGATACGTGAGATTTAAATTAGTAACCATTAAAGTCTTTAAAAGAGACATTTGGACATCAACGACGCATGAAAAACGAAGCAGCCGACATACATGTAATATAGGGGTAGTAAGAGTAAACGGCACGACTATTTAATTTGTGCCTGGCGGCAGCGATGGTGACGAAGCGGAGAAACGACAGTGGTGGCAGCCGGGGTGGCGTAAGGTTACGCGGACCTCTCGCTCTTTGAAGTCGGTGGTTGATGGCGGTTGATCGCCCCGCACCTCACCACCCGCTACCCCGATGTGGGCTTGGTGTGTACGCACTGAAGGCTGCTGTTGGAACGCAACCCCTCGAACGGTGGAGAACCTCGGGGATCTCGGGAGAAGGAAAATGAGGTGTGAGGACGATGATGGTTTCGCGTGCGAAGCTTGAACCGATGTACTTCATCTGCGTTCCTTTCAGTCTTTTCCGATGTTTTTTTGGAAAGATCGCACGCATTTTGCTCGCATTTACACATGGAAAAAAAAGATTTGTTAAAACAACTAAAAACTTTACTGATTCAGCAAATCTACAGCTGTAATATACGGACAGCCATTTTTCTATGTTAAATTAGCGAAGTTGTATAGCTGAATAAAATTAGCGATTATAGATATATAATTATATTTGTTGTAATAGCATAAAAAATTTGTTAATATTTACAATAAAGATAACTTTCTACGAAAATCAATCCAATATATAGATCAAAATTTTTAACAAAACATGTTAGCTAAGATGGCACATACTTTTGCTATTGTAATGAAGAAAACTTGTTACATTAGCAATTTTCATTGTAGCAAAGAATTAGCTAAATTAGTATACTGATAATTGCAGACATAAGTTCTTTGTCAAACTATTGAATCCTTTTAGTTATATATTGAAAAAAACTAAATTTTGATATATACATATATATTTATTTGAGTAGCTGTAAGTAAATATTTATTAAATGTAATCATTTATTTATTTAACACAAAGACCATTAATTTAATTTAACTATAATTTTTTTTATTGAATAAACATTTATTTACTGTAAGTAAATGTTTACTCAGTACTTTATTCAAAGAAATATGTATCCAAATTTAGTAAATTTTTTTCAGTGTAGATATTGAACTCGCGCAGCAAGCTATAGCTTTGCTGAATCATCCAATCTATTTTTTTTTTCGTCTACGTGTATTCGCGTGACGTTATTTAATCCGACACTCGATTCAACGAGCTATTTTTCTTAACCCTCCAGAGCCGATGCTAAAATCTGTAACACAGTTATTGACGCTGAGTCTGTAAAATTCATTTAATTTATGTTAATTAATTCTACTGGTCTATACAAATTTACTATATGATCATATCGTTTAGGTCAACATAATTAACTCTAATTAGTACTCGCAAGTCTATAAAGGATTTTATTCAACGTTGTGAAAAATTGTTTATAACAAGTATTTTTCACAATCTTACATAATTTTAAATTAAATAATCATTTTTCTCGGATTTTAACCTTCAAATGAAAAAAAAAATCATTCAATTACGTTAACTTTAAGCAAAAGTACATTAATTTAAAGTAACTGGACGCAAATATCAGTAAAGAAAATTGAATTGTTTGACACTTGTATCAAAGACACTTATAATTGAATGGATCCAATAAATTCACCGTCAGTTCCGGAGATTAATATTCTTTAAGAAAAAAAAGGTATAGTGAAATAGGATAAATTAGGAAATAGATGATCAACTATGAAATATTTGAGAATTGTTTTTATTGATATCTTTTTATTAGGAATTTTACAATAAAGAGTGAATTAAGAGGAATAATCTACAAAGTTCTATAACTAGACTGCTGACTTCGCTTCCATCTTTGAAAGCAACGCTATGTTCAAGTTCACGTACTCTCACATATATAAATCACATTGAAAATCACGTACAGACACGTAATACACTTATTGTCAGATCATGTGTACTCATAGACGGGATGCATACTTGTGCACGCATGGACCAAACAAGGGGCAACATTCATAGTCGGATTTTATATGTATTTAGGACCGTCTTAAGTACAGTCTCTTAAGACGATTTACGAACGCTCAAAAGACAGCTCGAAATCAAATTTATTTCTTTCTATCAGCAGTTCAAGATTGGGCAAAATACATTTATACATCATTAAAATTCATTTTAAATACAAAATACAAAATACTTTTATGTGCTCCGCTGAAATACAAAATACAAATCGTATTTCAAATACTATATTTCAAATACAAGTGTTTAAAATGTATTCAGTCCTGCAGTCTAAGTACAGAAGTCTATGGAATAATCTCCTTTTTACAATGTGAAATTATAATTATTATTCTATGAAAAATAACTAGGTTTATGATTTATTTGTTTTTTTTACGTTTAAATTTTGATAAAATCGCGACTCTGCGTCAGTGAAGACAGAATCAGCCATTAAAATATAGTGACAATATGTGGTCTAGAATAAATTGGCAGATAGGTAATCATGAAATATTTGCGAATTATTTTTATTGATATCTTTTTACAATGAATTTTACAGTAAAGTGTGATATATTAGAATGAACAATTTTCTCCTTTTTAATGTAAAATTATAATTATTTTATGAAAAAATGATTAGGTTCATGATTTATTTGTGTTGGTTTTACATTTAAATTAAATTTCTCTCTCTCTCTCTCTCTCGCTAAAAAATCGTAATTATGTTCAATGAAAGTATACTTGGTGAATCATCCAATTTCAGTGAATTTATTGTGCATATACGTATATATATATAGTATAATATATGGTCAGCTGTCAAATAGTTGGAAAACTTCAAATTCTTTTTCTTGTCAAAAATGCATCCATTACATTCAATTATATCTACTATATAATTACAATAATTTATAATCAATTATATAACAAGATGATCTTCTTCCTTCTAATTTAAATTGAGTTACTCGTCGTTAGTCCAATAAAAGATGATATTAAAATAATTCTTAAGGAATCGATCGCGACTTGAACTTAACTGCTCATCCACGTAAAACCCTAACAGTAACCCTAACTTCACATCTCGTTTTCGGCAAGACTGCGGCGTGATACGGGCTACGTGCAATTTCTTCTATAACCGTGTCCTCGTGTCGGAGTATGCGTCGCCGTCGGTATACAGATCGGAGACCGGAGTTCGCTGCGGGCGTAGCGCCAAGGGGATGATTCCGAGCGTGTGCCGAGGGTGGCCGGTCTGCGCCGAGCACCGTCGAGCGTGTCCGAAGTCGGTCGAATCGCGGAACCGAGGGAACTTAGCGCGCAGCTCGAAGAACCCTGGTTTAGTCTATCTCCAGGCGCTAGACGCGACGAGTGCCGAGAGGGGTTGCGGCGCAGAGGGTTGCGCGCGTGGTTGTACGTCATCTCCTGGTCCTCCTCCGCGTAGACACACATCTACACACATAGACACGTACACGCGGTATACACGTTCTTTCCAACCCTTCCCTTACCTACATCCGCACTTGTCCGACTTCGTGCCTCCCTTATGTTTATACCGATTCGGAAACCGAACAGGTGAATACACTGCCCTCCTCTCCCTACGATGAAACGGGAGTGGTAGATCCTTCTTGCCTTACCGTTACTTATCTATCTATCCTGTCTACCTACCTGCCTACGTATCCTCTGATCTCTCGCTTTTCCAAGGAACTCGATGATAATGACACCGGCGGAGATGAATGGAAAACCACGGAAGAGACAGTTCGCCAGACATCGGCCGTGCACAAATCGGTCGGCCCACCACGTGGATCGCGGTCTCGTGCTCTCGTCGCTAGTACCATTCACGTTCGTTTTCATCCTCGCGCTTGGTAAGTAACTTAAGAGAATTTGATCAAACGTCAAACTTTATGTTTTTGATATTACGACGATGAACTAATTAACGGAAAAGTAAATGAGATTGGAAGAATTCCAAGAGCATTTTATGATTTACTCTGCAAATGATTTTGTTTCAAATCTCTTATTTCTTCAAATATAAATAAAATCGATGTCTGATTTTTTCGCTTTTCTGATATAAAAATATATCTCTCGTATGTCTTTTTAGACATATAAGATATTAGACTTCTGATAATTGAAAATGTAGAAAAATTAATTTATAGAAGTCAATTTCCATTCTACAAAGACTAAATGTAAAGACTAAATCCATCTTTTTTTATTATTATTTGTATAATATTTTAAAAAATAAGGATTACAGTGCTTTATTATCACATTAAGTAAACTGGAATTACTACTAAGCTTCATATTAATCATTTGTGAATATAACAAAACGTGTTATTTCGATGGCTCAAGCAAGTCGTCAAGGATAGTGTCAGAATTACTGAGATTCGTTATTCATAACACGTTTTGTGGGATATATTCTGAATTACAATTTTAATAAGACACATGGGACAGAGAGCAGTCCCACACATTTCGTAGCCATGTTGCCTCATAGAATTTTCAGCTTGCAACCTATCAGCTTTGTAACACGCGTGCCGTAACAATCGCTTGCCGTAAACGCGAAAAAAATAAATGTATTTTATTCAAAACAATATTCGCAAAGTTTATTTTATATTGTTACGATGTCGCATATTTTTTTTTATTCTATAACTATCATTTGCACAGTCTCGTTTTTTTTGGCATCACAACTACGGCATGCGTTAACCTACTATCGGATACAGTTTCTGAAAACATATAGAAAAATCGATGCAGCAAAACGCGATGCGTCCGTGGAGAATTCAATTCCGCCAGAAATATCTTGTTGTACGAAACCAGATATTGATCTTACGGAGCGAAAGATAGCCACTGGTGATAGCGATCGTGTAAACTGAGTCGCAACATCGTTTAACAAAGTGGGGACAACAATATTCGCGCTCGGGGATAATCGCATACCACAATGTAACGTGAGAATCGCGAACCGCGGGTCGTCGAGATCGGCGGGGAGGATACCGCAACAAAATCCATTTCCGCCATTCCCCGTCGCCATTGAAACTCTATGTTGTTGGGATTGCAAAGCTAGAATAGTGTCTTATTACGCGCATCATTGAGCACGAAGTCGATCCGTGAACATTCAATGTCGATGTTTAATAAAAATCGAAAGAAAAATACTAACAAGTAAATCTATCTCTACGCTACTATTTCCCAATTGTTTTCTCAATTGTTTTTAAGATTGGAAATCTATAACAAAATTGATATTGTAATAAGTATGATAATGACGCTTTTTATGAGTATTTAACGCGAAACAATGTTGCCATGTTAATCGCATTGTAATGCTAATTGTTTTGCTTTTTCCATGATGCAAGAATAATTTACATCGATCCGATTAGGAAGCAAGTTAGCAGGTAGACAAAGAGAGAGTAAAGAGCACTTCTGTAATACATCGCCTATGGAGAGTAGTGTCTAACGGCGCTAATCGGTCAAGTGCCGTTGATTATCGGGTAATAATTGGCGGATGCGAATAATCAATTATATTAGCGCGGATGAGGCATACTCAATAATTTTATGCTTTTATTATTGTTAACGTAAAAATATTTTAGCGATTGGTGATCGATTGCGTAATTTTTGTCAATATCAATTTTTCCAACGGAGAATAGGCGAGAAGAAAATTTTATTATTTCTTGGAATGTGGGGAAAGAGAGAGAGAGAGGCGAGACAGGTACCGTCATGTATAGCGCATATAGGTATCGTATTTCGCGCAGAGCGCTGCATGAGAAAATTTATGCCGTGTTAAATTTATATATTATATACATACACATACATCCCGGAAGCGCTTCTTGTCGAGTTATACGTTCCATCTGCGAGTTACATATCACGAATTTTCGAAATTCCATGCAATGATCAGTTTTCGCGAAATATTTCCTTGCGTTCTACAATAGAAATATGAAAGATCGAGATCTTAAAATATTCAGGCTTAAAAATGAAACGTCATAACTTAATGTATAATATTTTGGATGAAAAAGAAAGAAATGTAGATACAAGTCTAGAAAGTAATGATGAATCTTCCGAATTGAAATTTTATCGAAATTTTAGTCGCCATTCCTTTGATTCGCCTCCCTTTTTGATTTACTGAATATTTCGTATATCGTACTATTTACAATAAAAACCTTAAAGATGAAACCTGTCCAAATGTTAAAATATTTATACACAAAATAGAGTATTTGAAAACTTAGCTAGATAACACATAGTATAAGTATACTAAAATATACTAAATATAAAATATACTTAATTTTAATAAACCATTTGTTTGCACAATACCAACTAAATATTTACTACATATAAAGATATATGTATTTGATACTAAACCATTAATTTAATTTAACAATCATTTTTTATTGAGTAAATATTTATTTACCATAAGTAAATGTTGAATTAACGCTATTTAAATAAATATTAATTAAAATTTAGTACATATCTTTTCTTAGTGTAACATTGAGCACAACGTTTTAGCAACTAGTTCGAGCGCCCTACATAATTATTTTAATGATTCAAATAAAATTTTCAGATCCAGCAAAATTTTAAATACTTCAGTAAAATCAGTGTGCTTATTATAATACTACATAACGTAGCATATATAATATTTTAGATGAAAAAAAGTATTGGAAAAAGTTGAAAACGTAATAAGGGGTGAATCTCTCAGACTGGAATTTTATCGAAATTCCCCTTTGATCTGTCCCTTCTTGATATACTGGTTTATCTTGATCGGGAGCACGCTGTCGCATAAATCAGAGTGTTTATTCAGTAGCCACGTAGAGAGTCTGGTGGAGAATATGAGATAGTGGAGAGCGTGCTCCTCGCTAATAATCTACGACGTGCCGCTTTTCTGACCTATACTTGATAAATATTGCAGAGGTACACTTTTTCCATCTCTTTTTCTCTCTTTTGAGATAACTGAGCGAAAAGTCTTGGGGTCGGATCCCGGAGGTTTAGCTTTTTAAACTCAACTTGAGCATTACTCAGAATTATCCGACGTCTCGTTTAAGAGAGAAGGGGTAAATAATGGGATTTCGATATTTGAGAAACCTTGGCGAAAATGGTCGTTCTCTTCCTCGTAACGAGCAGATACACAGCTTTACCTCAAACTATATCAAAGTGGCGCGCCACAAAAGATCTTTTTGAAGAAGCGGATTCCCTGGGCGAAGTTTAATCCGTCAATCCGTGAATAAGCTCAAGAGCAGCGTTTAGTTTCTCGGTGAAACTTTTATGTAACGTACATTAAATTAGCTGCTGCGCGGATAAGATTATAAGCTATATCGACACAAAGAGGCGGCACCCAATCCATTCTTTCTTTCCCATCACGTCACTGGCCAAGAAAGATAATTCGACACAATGTTTAATTACGGAGCGTAATTAATGGTGCACCTACGAGAGTAGTTCGCGAACGTCCGGTCACTATCCATTCAACCACTGAGTAATCCTTCGGGCCACAATGGATCTACGACACGGAATGCGCCAAACCGTCGCCTACACGGGTCAATTTATCGCTTCCCTCGGACTACAGAACAAGACGTGCTTTTCGGGATGCCGTAAATGTTTGCACGTAACGGCGGGCAATGATTTTAAACTCTGAGTCGCTATGTCATGGCATTTCGTAGTCGCAAATTTATAGTGAACTGAAAAATAGCGCAAAAATTCCTTTATTGACTGGACAAATGGTATTTTTTATTCAATTTTATTAATCCATTCATACGTGCAATTATTGACAGCATAATAATTCAAGAAAAAACACGCAATTGAATTCATGATAATATTAATAATAGTTTTATTGAAGTGCGAAAAGTAGCATAAATAAGAATAAATTTATAACGGATGCCTCAAAAAGTGAGGCATTAGTACTACTGTTCACGAGGCCAAATATTAATGGAACATTATAAATAAAATTTATATTAAATAAATCAAATAAAAAATTCCTATTTTCAAAGTGAATCTGATGCTTGATAATGTTTATGCAAATTTGCAAATACATTATTCAGTTTTATAAACTGCACGTCAATTTGGTTTGTTTGACTTAAAATGCAATCATAAACTAAAGCTTGAAATAACATCACAAATTACATTGCTCGTCAATTTAATAGTAATGCTAACAAGCATCTTAATATACATAGTAAAAGAGATACAAACATAAAAAGACAGGAAGATGAAAATATAGGATTAAAATGCATCAGCATGAAGACATCACGATTACACGTGTATAAATGAACGTATGTATATTGAGAAAATAAAAGATCCAAGAAAACGATTGTAGACAAGGTAAAGATTTAAAAATGTGAAGCAATGAAGAGAGAAGCAGTCGTTTTGAAAAAGAAAATAGGTAAAGAAAAGTTAATGTCACTAGATAATGAGTTAAAGTATTTTATTTTGGTGTATAGAAAGAAGCAGCCTGATATTTAGATGTATGAAGAGAATAGGGTAATAAAGAATAAAAATGTATAATTGACGCATGAAGCAGAATGAAATTCTTGATTGTAATGATTAAGACGTTCACATAGATAAGGCTGGAGTTGCGGAGAACTTTTAAACACTAATAACACAGATCTGTAATGAACAAAATTCCTATCGCAATTAATTATAACGGTTATTGACCACTACACTGAAAAAAATTTACTAAACCTTAATACATATTTTTTTGAATAGCATTAAATAAATATATACTTACAGTAAATAAATATTTTCTTAATAAAAAAATAATAGTTAAATCAAATAATTTTTGTATCAAACAAATATATATTCATATTTAGTTGTGTATAAATATTTATTTAGAACTATTTGAACAAATATTTATTAAAATTCAGTATTTTTTTAAAGTCTATAATTGGCCAGAAGTAATGGATCAATTCGT